TCTGCCCTAGCCCATCCTCCTCATTCTTCTGTTTTCTTTCAGAATGAAAAAGGCAGGCACTGACCTCCCCCTGAGGCAGTTTCCAGGTACTTTAGACTCCCTCAAAGTGTTTGAGATCCTCTCTGGTGACCCCTAGCATTTGCTTCTCTTCCCTCTTACTTACAAAAACCCAGAACCCAGTCTCAACTCAGTCTGGCTAGCTGTGGGCACAGCCCTTGGCTCTCTGATCGAACAGTTTTCTTTGTGGGACGGTAAAGTCGTCTAACCTCGGCCTCAGGGCTGGGATTTCTCTGTGGCAACGCGGGCTGGGCTGTGGGAAGCTGGCTTGCTTGCAGTGACTTGCCTCCCTCTGTTGCTGCTGCTGGGTCAACGTTAAGGGCGGCCCTTCTCCGCAGCCACACATCTCCCTGCACCTCCCTGCAGAGACCCTGTGCGGATTCAAGGAGGCTCTGGGCCACCCCCTGGGACCTGCACCCAGGCCTCCTGCTTCCCAGGCTGGAAGCCCCCCTCTGCCGGCGGCGGATGGAGATAATTCAGTTTCCAGCCTGCCACGTCACCTAGAGCGGGAGCTCGAGCAGGAGGAGCAGGAGCGCGGCTGCGTGGCTGCCTGAGGAATCCCAAACTAGTCATTTGGAGCTTTCTTGGAAAGCCCCTCCCAGCCCTTTGAGGTTCTGGTTGGCTGGGGGTGGGGGCTGTCAAGATGGTGTCTGCCACGTGGCAGGGCTGGGAGCTGGGCTCCTTGACTCTCTCCCAGTGGGATGCTAGTGGCCTTCCCCACCCCCCCCCCCCCCCCCCCCCCATGTCTGTGCTCTGGCATCAGCTGTATGGACTAGAGGTGGCCTTCGAGTTGAGTGACCAAATGCCTGTTGTCCAGGCAGAATAATCAGTAGTGCCCCATTTTACTCTCTTAGGCATCCTTTTGTGTGAAGTAATTCTTCGGTCTTTCTGCTTTTGAGGCCCCAGGCCTGATGGGGAAGGAGCTAGGGCTGGGAGGAAGGTGGGCCCTGAGATCCCCCCTCTTGTCTGCGCTCTAGGGTACAGGTCTCTCTTGGGCCTTGCGCCCCCCCCCCCCCCCCCCCCCCACCGCTTTCTCCACGCGTCCTTTGCTTCCCCCTTTACGCTGCACCTTCCGAGAGGTGGCCGCCCAGAGAGGGGGGACCTGCCTCGGTTCACAGGATGGCTACAGCAGTGGAGTCTTTCCAGAGACCCAGTGCTCTTGCAGGCAGGCCGAAGTCCTGAGGGTCCTCTGCTAGGATTCTCAATTTGGAGGTCCTTAAGGACCCCAGGATGGGATCCGCTGGAGCAGTGGGACCCCAGCCTCCACCAGAGTTCCTACCAACCCTTCCCTTCCCCCTATCCATCTTGCCTGAAAGTAACGGGGAAGTATCCCATGTGGAGAGACTGTCCTGATTGGAGGCCCCTGGAGGAGAGTGAGGCTTGTTTTGGGGACCAATGCTATTGCTGTGGTTTGGAAGGGATCCTGAGGAGAACCCTGAAGCCACAGAGCGGAGGGCCTGTGTGATAACCAGGCTCTGTCAGATTGGAGGGCAGAATGGAATCTGAGGTGGACCCAGCTTCCTGTGAACACGCTTCTGGTTAGCCTCTGGTGAACGGGAGGGGGTGTCATTGCTCCATTCAACTGTGACTTACTCCTCCTCCAGTATCCTTCCTCTCAGGAAACCTACCCCCCACCCCACTTTTGTCCTGGGGATTTCCCATCCATTCTCGGGACTGTGGACAGATGGACAGGCATGTCCCTGCTAGGATAGAGGCCTTGGGCGTGGAGACCTAGACCTTTATGGCTTGGCAAATGGAGACTGAAGCTGAGAGAGGAGTGGACACACACTCAAGGTCACCCTTGGGCTGCAGAGTTTAGCATCTGGGTTCCCCCATTTAATGAGTGAGCCATTGGGTGACTCATTAACATCCCAGGGCAGGGTAAAAGGCACAGAGGGAGGGGCAGTCCTTCATCCTGTCCCAACAGGACATCCTTTGTCCAGACACCTGAGCTTCATGCAGACCCTCAGTCCATCCGCCACATTTTTCCACTGGAAAAGGGTTCCGGAGTCATATGAGATCAGGGCTAATCTGTATACAAAATGAAGATCCTAAGTCTGCCCAAGTGGCCCTGATTTTTGTTCATTGAGGAACAGCTGAGGCCCATTGTGTGCTAGGCACTGGAGATGTAGAGGATAACCAGACTGGCTCAATTTCTTGTCCACTCGGAGTTCATAGACTAGTTAGGGATGGAGATCACGTATAATAAACACACAAGGCTGACTGTTGTAAGTTCTGTGTAAGAAATCAGTAGGGTGGAGCTGTTGCCTTGCTAGAAACCCTGCTCCGGATTAGGAGCTCAAAGAAGGCCTCAGAGAGACTGGGCAGACTGAGACCTCTGATCTGGGCAACTCTTGAGTTAGGTCTGGGTTCCCCAGAACTCTGAGCTCTCTTGATCCCATCTGCAGGGGACTTGGTGGCTGCCAGAAGGCTGGGGATGGTTCCTGGGGAGGAACATCTAGGGTTTCAGGGCCACCCTCTCTCCAGCCCTCACAGGTCTCCCGTGGTGCGTACAACCCGCCTCCCAGCCATGCGCCTCCTCGCGCTCATCGGCGCCTGCTGCCTCCTGGCCGTGGCTCTGGCCGCCGAGGTGAAGAAGCCCGCGGCTGCTGCAGCACCGGGCACGGCAGAGAAGCTGAGCCCCAAAGCGGCCACGCTGGCCGAGCGCAGCGCCGGCCTGGCCTTCAGCCTGTACCAGGCCATGGCCAAGGACCAGGCGGTGGAGAACATCCTGCTGTCGCCTGTGGTGGTGGCCTCGTCCCTGGGGCTCGTGTCGCTGGGAGGCAAGGCGGCCACGGCCTCCCAGGCCAAGGCGGTGCTGAGCGCGGAGCAGCTGCGGGACGAGGAGGTGCACGCGGGCCTGGGCGAGCTGCTGCGAGCGCTCAGCAACAGCACGGCGCGCAACGTGACCTGGAAGCTGGGCAGCCGCCTGTACGGGCCCAGCTCGGTGAGCTTCGCAGAGGACTTCGTGCGCAGCAGCAAGCAGCACTACAACTGCGAGCACTCCAAGATCAACTTCCGCGACAAGCGCAGCGCCCTGCAGTCCATCAATGAATGGGCGGCGCAAACCACCGACGGCAAGCTGCCCGAGGTCACCAAGGACGTGGAGCGCACGGACGGTGCCCTGCTGGTCAATGCCATGTTCTTCAAGCGTGAGTCCAGAGGGGTGGGGCGGCCGGGCACAGAGCCCTCAGCAGCTGGGGTGGGGAGCCAGCTCGGCACGTGTTGCCCAAATGCCCGACAGGTGCCAGGGCAGAGGGCGGACGTGGCGGTGGCTGAGCCGAGGGTCCTCCTGAAAGAGTTCTCTGTCCGGTGGAATCAGCCAGACCCTGACTGTAGAGAGCTGTTCCTCATAGCTTCAGGCAGCATGTCGCGGGGCCAACGCCCGTGTCCCCCAAAGCGGGGAGCATGTACTCTGTGGACTGGGCGCTGGGGTGGGGGGGAAGGTGAACCCCAAAGACTAGAACGGAAGCCTGTGGCAGAGAGAGATCCAGGGTGTGCAGTTGGGGGGCTGTGTTCTGAGTGGGGGCCGTCTATTTCTGACCTTGCGTTCTGCTTCCCACTCCAGCGCATTGGGATGAGAGGTTTCACCACAAGATGGTGGACAACCGAGGCTTCATGGTGACCCGATCCTATACTGTGGGTGTTACCATGATGCACCGCACAGGTGGGTGACCTGCGGAGCCGGGGGCCGAGGTGGGGGGGTGAGGGCGCTCGGGGCCTAGGCCGCCCCCAGCCCTGCGTGCCCAGTGCCCTCTCGGCTCTCCTCCCAGGCCTCTACAACTACTACGATGACGAGAAGGAGAAGCTGCAGATTGTGGAGATGCCCCTGGCGCACAAGCTCTCCAGCCTCATCATCCTCATGCCGCACCACGTGGAGCCCCTCGAGCGCCTTGAGAAGCTGCTGACCAAGGAGCAGCTGAAGATCTGGATGGGGAAGATGCAGAAGAAGGCTGTCGCCATCTCCCTGCCCAAGGGTGTGGTGGAGGTGACCCACGACCTGCAGGTGAGGGATGGCCCAACTTGGGGTCTGCAGGGCCTGGAGGAGAGGGGTGCTTGGGGCACCCATTCGTCAGCTCAGCCGGTCTGTCCTGAGCCTCCGTGGGTGTCCAGGTAGTACTGGGCGCTGCTGGGGGGAGAGGCCTGGGACCTGCCTTTGGGAACATGATGGTGACATCCGTAGTTAAATGCGATAGAGCGCCTGCTGTATGCCAGACACTCTTCAGAGCACTTCGTAGATGTTAACCTTTTAATCCTCGAAACAACTTCATTAGGTAGGACTAATGAGCTTCTTAGAGATGAGGAAACCGAGGCTCAGGAAGGTTAAACAACTTACCCACAGTCACATAGACGGTAACTCAGACATCTGGCACCAAGCTGTGCCCTAGTCCCGTACCGTACTGCCTCTGAGCCTGAGGTGCCCCCAGTTCTAGACTGTTCCAGCCGAAGGGTCGTCTCCTGTGCAGCAGTAAGACGAACAATGGCTGTCAGCAGTGAGGCACTCGGGGTGGCTGGAAACTGAACCCACGCATTCAACGTTATCTTCTCCTCATGACCGCCCTGGGTGTTGGCCAGTGGCTTGAGGGGAGGCTGAGGTCACCTTGGTTAGTGAGTGGTAGAGCTGTGATGAGTCCTCAGGGTGAAAATTCAAAGTGGCCTTTTTGTCAGTCAGGAGAGATTTTTTTTTTTTTTTTTTTTTTTTTTTTTTTTTTTTTTTTTTTTTTTTTTTTTTTTACCTACTCAAAAGGGAAAACTTTTATCTCATTCGTGCCTTGGATGCTAGAAATGGCTCCTTGGTAAGCTTCTCACTCACGGGATTGATTCAGATTCACTGCTGACACTGTGGAGAGAAAGCTTGTGATGAAATGGGGCTTCGGCTCCAGACCACGGACTAGTGGCCCTTGTGTGGCCTGTGCTGTGGATCATGCTGAGGTGTCCAGAGAGGAGCCATCACCACGTCCTGGACCCGTCCAGGTTCTTCCCCAGCTTCTCCTTCTGCCGTGGCTGCTCTGACGCCATCCTCCCTTTTTTTCTCCCGTGTCTTCCTGGAACCCTGGGTGGACACACAAGTCCATGGGGTACGTGGAGTTGAGAAATTTGACGTGTGTGACTTGTGTAAGGTCATTGGGACTGGAGTCGCTGGGCCTAGAACACCTGTCTCAGGACCCCAGCTCAAGTGCCTATTTGGCCTCACCAGGGAGGTGGCCTGTCCTGCAGAAACCTGGGCCCAGAAGCTGCTGGTGACTCGGCCAGTAGTCCTTCTCTGCAGCGTCTTCCTCACTGAGCCACAGGGCGACCAGGCTCCGGTCGTGGGGGATAAGGAAGGCTTCCTGGAAAACGGGGTGGTTAAAGCATTCTACAGGGATGGGGGTGGCCGTTGAGACACCATTGAGGGTGCCGGCTGTTCAGTGAGACCGTCGAATAAAGTGCTGGGAGAGGTATGCTAAGGGGTAAGGCCACAGCACAAGCACAGTTGACATACGAAACCGCTTGTACTTGGCTTCCGGCGGCTCTGCAGAGCCATGGCAAGTGTGTGTGTTGGGAGTGGGGTGCATGTTTGTGGGGGTGCGTTTTAATTTTGTACTTTGGGAATATGTAAAAACATATATTGGGGCGCCTGGGTGGCTCAGTCGGTTGAGCGTCCCACTTCGGCTCAGGTCATGATCTCATGGTTTGTGAGTTCAGGTCCCACATTGGGTTCACTGCTGTCAGTGCAAAGCCCGCTTCGGATCCTCTGTCCCCCTCTCTCTTTCCCTCCCCTGCTTGCAGTCTCTCAAAAATAAACAAACATTTAAAAAAAGATGTATCACGTATACATTAAAACTTGATCAGTGTAATGAACTCTCTTGTATCCATCACCCAGCTTCAATCATCAGCAGCTCGTGACCGATAAGGAGTCATCGATACACAGCCATTTCTCCCCCAACAGATTATTTTCTGTTAATTGTTTGTTTAGTTTTGAGAGAGGGAGAGAGAGCATGATGGGGAGAGGGGTAGAAATAGAGGGAGACAGAGGATCCGAAGCAGGCTCTGTGCTGACAACAGAGAGCCCGATGTGGGGCTTGAACTCACAAACCATGAGATCATGACCTGAGCCAAAGTTGGACACTCAGCCTAACCAGCCAGGTGCCCCACCCCCATCAGATTATTTTGAAGCAATTCCCAAGCAGAAAGCACCCTGGACAGGTTTTAAAGCCCCAGGATTATATGGTCATAGCTATCCTTAGAGTAGTCTTCCTTACATTTGAGCGTGCCAAGAATTACCTAGAGATTTTGTTAAAGAAGCTTCCTGGGTCCTCCCCCAGAGATTCTGATAGGTGGCTCTGGGAGAGAGGGCGTCAGGAGACGTGTGTTTCATATAAGCTCCCAGGTGGTGCCCGTACTGGCAGTCCGTGACCCGTGCTTGGAGAAGCACTGATCAAGATTGCTCAGCAGGACTGGGGATAAATTCTGCCTTTCCCCCGAGTCTCCGTGTCCTTATCTGTTATGTGGCAATTAGAGGTTCTTGCAGGGTTGTCGTGAGAGTTAAGAAAGCAGTGGTTCGAAGTGCCTACATCATGTCTGGCATACAGGAGGTGACGGGGAGGTGGTAATCTCTGCTCTGAGGAACAGGGTAGGAGGTGATGGGTGGTGAGGGTGGAGGGTGCGGGTCTAGGAGCCTTGCCCATCTCGCGGCCTCACCTGGCACCTGCCTCATCCCGCAGAAACACCTGGCCGGGCTGGGTCTGACTGAGGCCATCGACAAGAACAAGGCAGATTTATCACGCATGTCGGGCAAGAAGGACCTGTACTTGGCCAGTGTGTTCCACGCCACTGCCTTCGAGTGGGACACAGAGGGCAACCCCTTTGACCAGGACATCTATGGGCGCGAGGAGCTGCGAAGCCCCAAGCTCTTCTATGCTGACCACCCCTTCATCTTCCTGGTTCGAGACACCCAGAGTGGCTCACTGCTGTTCATTGGGCGCCTGGTTCGGCCCAAGGGTGACAAGATGCGAGACGAGCTGTAGGGCCCCAGGGTCGTGGGATGGCAGGAGGCAGCCGAAGGCTCCTGAGACACATGGGTGCTATGGGAGGGAGGGAGTTGAGGTACTGACCTTGGATAGTCCATGGGGTAGGGGTGGGCAAACAGAGCAGGCTTCCTGTGTGTCTGAGCAGACTTCCCAGCCATCTGCTTGGACGTGGGCTCCCAGATACCATGATGCTGAGCCCAGGAACCCCAGGGACCCCACATTCTGTGGGACCTGGGCAGTAGTCACGTCCTGCCCTCAGAGCCCTGGGTTTAAGCCTGCCTCAATCAGTGTTCATATTTATAGCCAAGTGCTTTCTCATCTGTGAGACGGAATCGAGCTAGTGGGGGCTCAGCCCAGGCCCCGTGGAACGGGGGCCCTCTTTCCCTGACCCGACCATCACCTCAGCCCTCTCTCCAGCTCTATTCCAATCCTCTCCCAACTTCCCTCAACTATAAAATGAGGTGCTGCACCCCCCTGGGACAAGTTCTCCCATGATGGCCCTGGCCCCAGTTGAGGGGGGGGATCGGGAAATAGCTCATGGGGGTGGGGGTGGGGGCTCATGGGCGGATTCTGGTCAGGCATCATGGGGATGAACTTTTTTTCTCCGTTTGTAGATTTTCAAAGATGGGGAGGGAAGGGGGAAAATGAGCCTTTGTTGCTGTCACATCAAGAACTTATTTGTACAATTTTTTTTTTCAATAAAACTTTTCCAGTGAAGTTTTGTTGGAGCATGGAGGGTGACTGGATCAGAGATTCCCATGTCATTTTTCCCGGGAGACAAGGGCTCCTTGTGTTAAGCCAGGGCCCATATCAATATGGTGCTGAAATGCTGGCAGATAACCGCAGGCCCCCTACATGCCGACTCGGGAAATGGTTTTGGCTTTGGCCGCCCTGGAGAGGTGGCTTTGGGGCTGGGGTGACAGTGCTGGACCTGGAGCCCGGGGCATTCTACGCTGGAACTTTGGCTCTCCAGTCTTCAGTTTCCTAGCTTTTCAAACTGATCTCATCCATAGCCAGGTTAGATAGGCTGCCTGACTGGGCCTGGCTTTGGCAGGAAGGAGCTTGTGGGATCCTTGTCCCATTTGGGTGTGCAGCAGGAAAGGAGGAGGGACCTGACACAGCCCTCCTCACATGGTCCTTGGGGCTCTTGACTCCATAGCTCAGGAGGAGAGAGGGTGAGTGGGGCAGAGGAAACTAGATTCGACACTGCTTGCTGGCAGTGTAGTCTCGGGCAGGTCACTTCCTCTCTCCGGGCGCCTCTCTGGCTTCCCTCTTCCACCAACTTTGCCCTGGGTGTTGTTGGTCCAGGGAGGGGAGCCCCTGCCTGGCTGGGCAACCCAGTTGGAGTCTTCCATGATGTGAATGGGGCTGCAGAAAGGCCAGCTGACTGACTCCTGTTAGTACCAAAACAGCATTTAGAATACCGCTGCCAGAGCTCCGGGTCTGTACTGTGCAATGGACCCAGTAAATCAGATGTCTGCCCTCAGGGGCTTCATCTGAAAGTGGAAGCCTATAGTGACAAGCATGCTCACTCCTCACTGTGTTCCAGTCCCCTGGATCATTCTGTTCCAGACTTGCTGTACTCGTTCCCTGCCTCAGGGCCTTTGCACTAGCTCTTCTTTCTGCCTGACAAGCAGTTCTTTGTCAAGGGTACTTTTTTTTTTTTTGTCATCCGGAACTCAGCTTGAATGTCATTTGCTCCACAAGGCCTTCCCTGATAACCCAATGTAAGTAGCAACTCCCCTGCCTCAGTGTCTATACTGTGTTTTCTCTTTTTACTGACTCCTTAATGCTGTGAAATTTTCCACCTATTGACACATTCACTGGCTGTCCCCACTATTAGAATGGAAGCCCCATGAAAGTAGGGGCCACATTTTGTTAATCACTGTATGTCCTCCACCTGGATTCAGCATCATCCCCACATAAGACACTGAAAATATATTTGCTGAGTTAGGAAGTGAAGCAGGTGTGCTAGAAGGGTAAAAGGGCTGTGGGAGTACAGAGGGGGAAGCCGTGACTGCCAAGGGAGATACAGAGGGCTCCCAGGAGGAGGTGACGTGGGCTGCCTTGAAGGGTGAGTAGGTATTCTTTTTTTTTTTTAATCAGAATAATAATTTAAATATCAGCTGGTACTACCTTTGCGTTTTGCTTCTAACACTATGTTTGTGCAAAACACCATGTCAGTCTCTTGGTGTCCCGTGCTATGGACATGGATATAATTTTATCCAAATTATCCACATTTGGATATAATTTTATCCAAACGTCTTAGCAGCTTGGCTAAGTAGGAATTCTCTGTTTTAGTGGTGAGATCACCAAGGCCGAGGGAGGTTAAATAACCTGCCTGAGGCCCCACAGCACAGCCAGTGGGGCTGAGCTGGGAACTGCTTCTAGAACGTTGGCTAGTTCTCCCTCCATGCCACGTGGGAAGGGCCGGAGAGGAACTGGCCAGATTCTAATACTGAAGGTGCATAGCCTGCTCATAGTCTATACATGTCATCCCACATCTTCCCCATGACGGCCCAGTTAGGTGGGAAGTCCTCCTAATCATACTAGTGTGGCTCAGAGATGGGCAGAGCCTGCACAAGAACCCAGGCCTCCTGGACCCAAAGTTCAGCCTGCAATAGCGCCCTCAGCAGGTGGGAGTGCCCCACCAGAGGGGAGCTCACAGTGAAAGAAGCCAGGCCTGGGGGTGGGGGCCACCCAGATGACCCAAAGGGGGCCCTGAGGTCACCTGCGGCCATCTGGGCACATGTGGGGAGGGTGGTGAGAGGTCTGAGCTCCCTCCTCATCAAGAAAGGTGGAGTTGCTAATGTGGAAGGTGACAGGGCAGGAGGCAGAGGTAGTCAGGTCAAGGTTGGGTTCGGGGTCAGACACCAGGTCAGTGCCACCAATGGCCCATCCTGCCCTGTGTGGAGCTTTCCTGTTGCCTGGAGGCCATTGGAGGGCTGTCCTATTATTCCCACCATGCTGCTTGCTAAAGCCGCAGAGATGATGATGATGACTGCTGGATTGTGAGGGTCCTGGATGTAGTGCAAGTGCGGGAAGGTGGGGATGAACTCTCTACTGGGCACCAACTCGGGGCCTGGCACCACTGTGTCTGATCTCATTTAATCCTCAGCGTTTACCTGAGGGGTAGCTATTACTGTCCCATGTTACAGATGAGAGGGGGAGTGGCCGGCCCAAGGCCACCCAGCAGGTCAATGATGGGGTCCGGCCTATATGGGAATCCAAGCATCCTGGCTGTGGAGGAGAGAAGTGGACAGGCATGAGTGCCGCACTCTACAGTTCATAGCGGGTAGTCACCAGTGGGTTTCCATGTAATCTTAACCCCAGTCCCTGCAGCACGGAGCTCGTTACCCTGCATCCATGGAAGAGTACCCCAGCTGAGATCTTGAGAGCAGGCCCTGCTCTGCCTGTGTCCTGCCACACCCCATACCTAGCACACGGCCTGGGACACAGGAGGTGCCTAATAAATGCTCACTCAAAGAAATTGTGCAGTGGGTGCTCTGGTGCTTAGCAGCAGAGGCACTGGAGCCTGACAGACCTGACCTGACCTGTGGTCCTGCATCCCGGCTTTTCCCTGGCATGGTGACCTCAAGCTTCTGAGAAGATGAAGGCAGGAGCTGAGGCCCTGGGGCCTGGGTTCTGCAACTCGCATCATGTCACCTCCATCACATTCTGTTGGTCGAAGCAAGTCATGAGGCGTGCTGAGATTCCAGGGGCGAGGAAGAGACTCCATCTCTCGATGGAAGGAGCTGCAAAATGGCGTGGGCATGTTTTCAATCCACCACCCGGGGGGTGGCTGGTTCTCTTCACGCCTCACTCCCATTGTTTCCAGTCCCAGAACTGGAGTTCTGTGCTTGCCTGACTCGGGGGTGCTAGTTCCGGAGTCAGATCTGGAAGGAGGAAGCACACACATCAAAAGAATCACAAGGTTTTGCTAATTTACATTAGCACAAAATCTGGAAAACGTGGGAATGTTTACTGTGGGTGCTAGTCCACAGAGAGAGGAACATAATTTCATTGGCCTAAATTTGTTTATTTATGTATTTATGTATGCATGTGTGTGTTTATTTATTTGGTGGGAGGGGCAGAGAGAGAGGGAGAGCAAGAATCCCGAGCAGGCTCCGCACTGTCAGCACAGAGCTGGACCCAAGGCTCGAACCCACGAACCGTGATATGACCTGAGCCGAAGTCCAGTTGGATGCCCAACCGACTGAACCACTCAGGCGCCCCCGAATTTATTTATAACACAGGATACATTGACCTGAGATCCTAGATTTAGTGTGCCACTTTGCGCAGTGAGGGGCGGTTTTCATTGTTGGCTTAGCTTTTGGGTTGGCCGAACCTCGGATTCAATAGGGAACTATGAACTATGCCTCATTGATGTTGAAATGCCAGGACTTTCTTGCTTCAAAATAGGGGAGAGAACCCGGACACTAAGGGAGGGAGGAATATTGAGGTGGGTTTACCCTGCGTGACCCACTCACCTGCCCCCTAGCCAAGTTCCACCCTCCCCAACTTCCTTTTCTAGAACCTCCAGGAAACTGCCTTCACCAAGATATTGCGAACTCCATTAGCGATAGGAATGTCTTTGAAACAGGATGTACTACTTGCTCTCTGCAGGCTAGGGATGCCAGTGGAAGAGGCTGCCACAGAAATGGGCTCTATAATTTTAGTGGAAGTGCTGGGATCCCGGAGGAGCAGAGCACACACGGCAGCACTTGGCCTGGGACATCAGACATCAGGCGGTAATCAGAATGGTTTAACTTACATTTTTATCTTTATCTTTAGCAGAGGCTAATTGTTCAAAGACCAAATCGGACCAACAGGCAGCCTCTAAACCCTCCTTAATCTGTATAACAGAAACAGCAAAGCAATAAGCGAACAAAACCTTCCATGTTGGGCAATGGAAGCCCCACTTGAGCCACTATGAAAGAGAACCTCAGTTCCCTCACCCAAAGCCCCTTGAATGGAAGAGAGGCCAGTACACTTCG